CTTCACACCTAAGAGGGACTCGATAGAAAAACTTTGTAATGGGCCAAACGGTCAGATGAACCGTGTCTGTATAGAATAGTGGAGCCCCGACGACAACATGTACGCATGTATCAATTATTTGAAGAAGCTTTCTATTTATATCAAAAATACTTTGTGGCTCAAAGAAGTCTACTATTATACGAGCTCTACACTTATAATCCTACGGGAAACGGCTCAAGGGCTAAAGCACGAATGTAACCACGAAATATCGTTGCACTCTTTTTCCCTTAGACCGGATTTTGTCCCAAGTGGGTTTTATCGGCAAGGTTTTTAACGAGGCAACAACTATATGCTACCTAAGGAAAACTCGAACAGTATCCAAGGCTTCTTTTCAATCAACCTTGAATACTGGGGGGCATCACCCTCGGAAATCATATTTTCGAGGAAAACACTTCACGCCTAAGAGGGCCTCGATAGGAAAACTTTGTAATGGGCCAAACGGTCAGATGAACTGTGTCTATATAGAATAGTCGAGCCCCGACGACAACATGTACGCATGTATCAATTATTTGAAGAAGCTTTCTATTTATATCAAAAATACTTTGTCTCAAAGAAGTCTACTATTATACGAGCTCTACACTTATAATCCTACGGGAAACGGCTCAAGGGCTAAAGCACGAATGTAACCACGAAATACTCGGGAACTGTCAATGACAGTCAGCTCATCCGAGTCGTTGAAAACTCGGACTCATAAGACCTCAAAGAAGCATCCCCCGAAACAAAGGCCAAGGCCAATATACTCTGGGACTATCTTATCGAACAAGTTCGAAAGGTTATCGGGAAACAAGTAGGACACACCCGAAGATTATGGTCATATAAAAGGCTACGGCCATATTAAAGACTATAGTCATATAAAAGGCTACGGCCATATTAAAGACTACGATCATATGAAAGGCTACGGCCATACTAAAGACTACGGTCATATAAAAGGCTACGGCCGAAATAATGTGGCTCGGAGACATCCGACTTCCGCCATAAATTGAGGGCCTTCAAACACTTTGAAAAAAACAGGTTAAATCAGGCTACCCTCGGCAAAAACAAAATACAAAGGGCTTTGATAAATTCAGCCCTCGAATAATTTAAAGGCTTCGATAACATCAGCCTTCGAAAAAAAACCTCAAGGGGTATTCGGTTATGTTTACATAGACTAGTTAGGTTCCGATTCATCGAACCTTCGAAAAACCCAATGGGTACGAAAAACACATGCTAAGGCATAATAAAATTTTCACTAAGTCTTTTAGACGAAAAGAGGAAAAAATTATATAGCCACTCTAGAGGCCAAATCGACCCAACTTAAAGAGCCTAAGGGCCAACTTAAAGAGCCTAAGGGCCGATATATAAGAGCCTAAGGGCCAACTTCGAAAGGCTTAAGGGCCAAAACATATAGTTCGAGACCCTGTTCTCACTCAACTCGGACTCGAGAGTCCCGATATCCCGAGCTCGCATCGAATCGTCTTAAACTTAGCTCGAGGATTATTATACTTATCAATAAAGACCTAAAGGTTTATTATATTCCGAGTCCAAACCAATACTTGGACCGATCATTCGAGTTATACAATCGAATTTTCCACAAATGAGACCAAAATGAAATTCAACACAAGTTGAGGATAGAGCAAAAAGGTTCTTTATATTCACAAAGGATGTTTTACAGAAGTATATTTACAACGCCCATGAGGGGCCCGTACACAAAAAAAAAAAGAAAACCTAATCTATTTTGGGGTTACGTCCCTAGAAGCAGCTTCCTCGGGAAATGCACCCTCGGCAGCTCTATCTTCGAGAGCCTCCTCTTCCTCGGAAACACCTTCCTCACCTTCCCCGCCCTCGGAGCTGCTCACAGCATCTTCGTCATCAGAAGAGACAAGAAACCTGGCATCGATTTTCCGCGCCTTTGCTTCGGTTATCTCTTCAGTCAGGTCAAACCCTCGGGCGTGATTTCTTGGAGAGTCTCCCTTCGGGCTTGACACTTGGCCAAATCATTGCCCCTCGATAATTCATGCCATTTGCGCTCATCGTAGGAGGAGGTGGCAGCTAACTTTCGAACCCAATCCTCGAGGTCGGGGACCGCGTGAGGCGCCCAGGCTGTGGCTAGAGAAAGCGTAAAGGCATTATGAGGCGTGAAAGCTGAATATGGATATATATTGGGAAGAAGAACTCCACTTACGATTAAAATGCCACCTCTTCGGGAACGACATTTTGTCCTTGGGAATGACATCCGAAGTCCGTACTCTGATGAACTGACTCATCCAACCTGGATCTTTGGTTTCGTTGTTACTAGCAAAGAAGGCTTTCTTTGCTCGACATTGCAGCTTGACAAACCCTCGAAACAGCTGGGGCCGATACAATCGAATTAAGTGGTTGAGGGTGAATTCTGACCCCGCGGCCTTTTCGGAAAAGTAGCGCAGCATGATCACGATGCGCCAAAAGGAGGGGTGAATCTGGCCTAGGATAATCTCGTATATTTTGCAGAAGTCGATCACCACCGGATCGAGGGGACCCAGTGTGAAAGGGTAAATGTAAACACTTAAAAACCCCTCCATGTGAGTAGTAATGCTTTCCTCGGGGCTCGGGATCTGAACCAGGACCTCGTCTCCCCAGCAGCAGTCCTCTTCATTGCTTTGAGGTTCTTCTCCGATATCAAACTAAGATACCGAGATGCATGCTTGCCCGGGACATCGGGGGGATTTTCATTACTGAAATCCTTCTTAATCACGCAAGGGCCGGGGGTGATTTCTTCAAGAGTCGGCGGCACCACCGGTTTGGCCGGCTGAGAGGTAGAAGAAGACGACGTTTTATCTTTTTTGGGGACCGTTTTGGAAGTTTTAGCCATGATTTTAAGCTAAAGAATACAGACTTTAGCAAAACGTGGTATTTTACGGGAACATGGCATTTTCCGGCGCTCAAAGGGGCGGTGAAAACAAATGATTAGGGAAAGAAATAGAGAAGAATCAGAGCGAAAGTGATGAAGAGTAAAGTCCTTTATTCAAAGAAGTAGCCCCATATTTATAGAAAGGCGATGACGGTTCGGCGGCGCTAATGGCTGACCGGCACTGGCGTACATTTAATGTTTTGGGAAAGCGAACCGACGGGACGTTTCAGTCACTTCGAGCGCCTACGTCACGGAAATGATGTCATCATTAAAGACTCCGGGGAAACGAGGTTCAAATCCTTTCTTATCATCTTACTCTAAGAAACGCGGGGACTATCTGTATATGGTCGAGATCGTATGCCTTCGATCTATATGCTCGAGAGGTCGTCCAAAGTCCTAGCTCAGGCAAGGTCGAGTTTGAGCTCAAGGGACCAGACCCGAGTTCGAAGACGGAGCACGATACATACCGAGGTCGAGTATGCTCGACCCCGGAATAGTACCGTTATGGACTTGTAACGGAATGGGCTAGACTCCTGCCACGTCCCCAAGATCACAGCGCAATCCCGGAATAGGATTGTACTATTCCGTATTAGGCGGTTAGACAGCTGTACCAAGAATATTCCTTACTGTAAATAGAAATATGCCTTATTTTGGGTTCCCCTATTATATAAAGGAGACCCCAATCATTTGTAACATCATCTCATCATTGGCAAGAATATACTATCCTACTTTTCTCTCTTACTGTTCATCAGAATTGTCTTTTACATTTATTGTTCTTACTTTATTGCTCTTAATCCATCTCGAGGTCACTACTAGTGAGTAACATTGGTTTGATTCACTTGTTTCTTTCATTTCTACTTCATATTTCTTGAATTAATTGGTATTGAATTTAATCACTATATCTTTTNGGTAGTCCCAGCTACCAAATTTTTTAGAACTACACTGACCTGATTCCTTTACAGCCAAGGATATGTAGGCAACCTCAGAAGCAAGGTTCGGTCACCCTTTTTTTTTTAAAAAACGCTTTCATTGGAGTGATATGTGAGCAAAAATTAGCTATGGCGCTCACTTTTCTTTGCACGAAAACTCTTCATGTTCTCGAGCAAAGAGGGGCAGCTGTGAACACCTAATTTTTTACACTATTTTAACACCTCCTAAAGTTATTAGTATTTTTGTTATTTAATTATTTTTCTCAAATTTTGTGTCTTTAATTGCATATTTTTATCATGAAAATATAAAAAAATAATAGTTCTTCCTTCATTTGTGCATTTTAGAAATCGATTAACTTTTCAATAGGTGAATCAATCTAGTTAATTGATCATTTGAATAAGTTAATTAATTAATTTATTTGTTTGTGTAAATTTAGTTTAATAAGTAGGATTAAGAAAGAAATTTGGCCAAATTTGAAAGAAAAAGTGGCCAAGAGTGCAAGATAAAGGGCTGCCATTCAAAGGGTTTAAAACTACGTAGTTTTGCCTCAAAACTACGTCGTTTCATTAAGTGATCAAGATTTAATCTTGGCCACCCATCTTGACTTGATCCAACGGTCCTAGTTTGATCTTCACCCTAGGTATTTAAAGCCTAAAACCCCCCAAAATTTTCCCCCATTTTTCCCTTATTTCCTTTCTTCTTCCTCTCTCATCACTCTCTCTTCTCTCCCTCTCAGCTCCGCCAGCCGCCGCCCATCGCTGCCGGCCGAAAATCGCCGCCGCCGGCGGCAACCCTCCAATCCACCCCAAAATTTCACCATCTCTTCCCCTCTTCCTCCTCTTTCTACCTATACCACTCATATCCTCCAAATCTCCACCAATCTCCGTAGATTTAAGCCTAACCGAAACCCTAGCCGCCGCCCATCACCCCAAAACTCCAAAAATTTTACACCACCGGCCTCCTCTTCTCCCCCTCTTCCCATATCTCCGACTCAAAAATCAAAAAAACCCCAAGCCGCCCTAGCGCCACCACCACTGCCCTAGCGCCGCCGCCACTGCCGCCTACTGCCGCCCACTGCCGCCCGTTTCTTTTCTCTAACCGGCCTCGAGCAAGGTTGTGTCGTTGATATTATTGAAACCGGACTCGGATTCACCGGAATTTTTTAGTTTCAAGAATATCAACAATAGAAGCTTGCTCGAAAGTCGTACCACTGCCTATCGTCGTCTCCCGGATGCTCGAGTATATGGTAAAATCGCAATCCCCGCCCCGTTATTAATTTTCTAATTTTTCTTTTAGTTTAGAGTTAGTTTCTGTCTTGTTTCTTTATTCTAATCCATTTCTGATTATGTTTGTCTTTGTTAAATCGCTTCAGCGATATCGTGCGTTCCGTTTGGCTTTAATAGTTAATTTTTGTTTGCTCATGTTGGTTCATAATACATATGTTGAAATTTAACTACATGTTTTAATACTTGGTTTAATTTGAATCAATAGGTTGATATTGGTGTTGTTAAAATCTGAAATTTAGATATTTTGTAGGGTACTAGTAGCTTGCTTTTAGTAGGGTGGCTGAAGTGACCCTTTGGCTCCTGCCATAGCAGATTTCAGGCTGTCCTTTCACCTTTTGGACAGCCTTTAGCACACAAATTTAGCCTCTTTTGGACAGATTTTTGTTGAACCAAAATCTGTCCAAAAAGTTGGCTTTTCTTTGCCTATTTAAGGGCTGCCCTTTCTTCATTATAAGGGACGGGATCACACTTCCATAGACATTTTTTTAGAATTGCTTAAACACACAAAAACATAAAAAATTTCAGCAGTTGAACACATGAAAAGTAAGCTGAAATGGTGAGCCTTAGGAGTGAATCTTAGAGTGCAAACTTTTAGAAAAGTATAAGTCCTCTTTAGAGTTCGTTTCTGGGTTTCTTCTCGAAGTTTTCGGGCTGTTTTAACATGGATTTGCTGCTGGTTTTCTGCTGTTTTGCTGCTGTTTTTATGCTGCTTTAGTTGCTGAACTTCCATTCTTCGTTGTTGTATTTATTATTCTGCGACTCAGGTAACTCTTTAATCTTATGTTGCAGATATTTTCACATTAACAAGAAGATTGGAACTCATCTTGATTGTTGGGAGCATATCCATTTAAATAAATGAGTGCTTAGCTAAATTTCTTTATTGTTTAAATATATCTTGTTGTAGTCATATGTAAAAAATAAATCCTTGGTTGATCAAACACTCTTTATTCATGTGTTATTTGTCTTTACTATCTATTATAGTTTTGATGCATATAAAATGAGATGTTTCAAGTAGGTTGCAATGTGCTTAAAGACTCCTTTTGCACCTTTGCAATTCTGGCCAGTTTATGATAGGCTATTCTTTAAAGAAAAATAACAAAAGAGCCATGCTTGAAACCTTTATTTATTGTGATAAAATTCAGATTTTACATGTGACCATCTCTGCTAGGATTTTAGATTTTTTTTGGTAGAAAGTGGCTAGATCTTAAATAGGTGTTTGAAATTGCTAGTTAAAAATAAGGGTTAATGGCTTAGAACAAAAGAGGTCAGACTCGCAATTTACCCCAGGTGGGCTATCTTAGTAAACCAGCATTTGAAATTCATTGGGCTTTCAGCTTATGCCCATTTTCGGAGCTCAATAATGGGCCAAGGCATATTCTGTCCAATAGGCCCAATGCCTTTAAGAAGTCTATAAACATTTTGTCCATTTATTTTATAGATGTTGGCTCAATACCATAACTAAATAAGCAAATTGGCCCACTTTCTCAATAAATAAATAGCTGGCCCATCTTCTAAAATCCATAAGCTGGCCCATTTCTCCTTTTAACAAGAAGTTGGCATATTTCTTTAAAAAAGATTGAGTTGGTCCAACATTTATTTGCACAATTTTTCCAACCATAAGGCTAGAAGATAATAATAGAAATCAGATTTCTGTTATTAATTAATTAACACATTTTTTTTTATTAGTTGAATTGCTAGGCAATCAGTAGGCACGCTTAAATCTTTTCATTCACGGATTCGCTTGCGTGGCGTGATATTTAACATTCAATAATTTAACTCAATAATCTCTTACTATATCTATAGTTTTAGTTAAATTTCTAATCCTTTCACCATACTCGCGGATTCGCTCGCGTAGCGCGATAGTAACTTTTTAATAGCGATAGTAACCTTTTAATAAATAATTTTCTCAAAAGCACAAATACAGTAATTTTTTCTAAAAATAATAGCGTGCTAATAATCCTTTGTCATAACTGCGGATTCGCTTGCGTAGCGCTGTTACGACAAAATTAATAAAATTCGTTTTGGTCGCATATTCGCTTTCGTAGCGCGGTTAGGCAAATTTTATACTATTTATATCATACTTTTTTTTTACAAACTTTAATATTTAAAAGCGGTAATGGTAAAAACATGAAAAT